AAAATTTTTTCGCGAATTCTGATTTGCAGGCACATCTCGTTTAGAGCATATTTTAGCATATTCACAAATCGCCCAAACATTTTTGTCATATTTCCCGTTTCAAAGTCCAGTCGCAGAATTTCCGCATTGAAATGTCAAAGGTTTTTTATCGCGCAGTTATTCAATTGCCCGATATACTGCTTCATTCATAGCATCCTCATAAAAGAGTTCATCCAAATGCTTTTTCTCAAAATTCTTCGTTTCAAAGTCCTCATAGCATTTTGGCAAAACACTGCATACTCTTTTTTCAAATATTTTCGTAACAAAGCCTATTATCCCTAATTTCTCAACTTTTGGCTTTGAATAAATTACAAATTGAAATTTGAATCGATAAAAATGAAAATAATATTTAAATGGAAAATATTTACTGAATCATAAGACTTTCTAGCGTTTTCGAATGTTTGAGTACCTTTCATTGAAATTTTCCCGTTTCACAATCCACCACATCTCAAAAGCCTTTCTAACGTTACAAAGTTGTCCGAATAATTCTATCGCAAAAATCCCTGTTTCAAAGCCTAATATCTCTCAATCGTGGCATTCTGTCGCTTTGAAAAATCGTTCAAATACTTTTTGTCATGGACTCCATTAATAAAGTTCGATGCCTCATCCGTAACAATTTCGCTCTAGGAAAAAATGCACTAATGATTTTTATCACAAACTTTTCCGTTTCAAAGTCATCAGTAGCATTTTCTGGTTTAAAAACAATTGCTGGTCAAATACTTTTCTCACAGAATTCCCCGTTACAAAGCCTCATATTAGCCCTGTGAGCTTTGAATGTCCAATCATTCTCAACCTGGGAAGAACCTTTCTGTCAAGGAAATTTCCCGTTTCATAGCCCATCACCTGTAAATCCCCTATATCACCCAAGCTTTCAGTAATTAATTGCCGTGAACTCCGCGTTACTATTTTTTGTTGTTGTTTTTGGGCAAAACCTATCATACTGCGGGGAGTAAGAGATGGCGCCTTCGATATGGCTGCAATATACTACTGGGACTAGTTTTGCTCAGTTAAGTAAATACTAGTTCTGGGCATAACGTCACACTATAATATAATACTCTGCTAAGTATATTTGTTTTGTTGATCGCGGTTTTTCTGCACTAATTGTTTTGGTAACGGAAGAAAGCAATTTTGGGAATTTTCCAAACTGATCACGAAGAAAATCTGAATTTTACAGCCTTTATCGTTATCTGTTTTGAATTTTTTCAATATTTAATTTTTTGTTGCTGATATAAGAAACAATCAGAGATTCTACTAAATCTTAGTAAATAGACAGTGACCTGTATCTTCCAGCAATATCTTATTGCTTTTCCAAAATTTGTCGGTGATAAAGCAAACATTTGACCCTTCCTGAATTTCCGTAAAAGGATTAATCGGATTTTTCAGCATTTTAATAATCCACTTTTTTCAAATAAAACAAACAAATAAAAACAGAATAAATTAGATTATTCAGATCTTATTACGTAGAAACTGGTAAATTTAACAATCTTTCGTTATTTTTGCAAATTCAAAGTGAGCAAAATTTTTGAAAATTTTTGGTGAAATTCGCGAAATGTCCTTGATTTGTGGATTTCAACACCGTAGTTTAGATTTAGATTTTCCAGCTTTTTGGTAAATGGGTTTTGCGAAACCATGAGTAAAGCAGAACATTCTTTACTTAGTGAAATGAAACTGCTAATTTTTCGGCGCTTTCGTTCTATCTATTTCTGACTCATCTATGCTCTAAATTCAGTGAATCAAAATCCATGATGGATCAAAAATTTCGGAACTTTTTAAATTTTCTTTCTGCCTATATAGTAGCGCACGAAAAATGACGCGGATTTTGCAGTTTTTTTCGCAACTTCCAAATTTCTAGTTTCTCAAAACTTCATAAAAGTGGATACGTCAACCCATTTCCAAAATCAAGTTTGCCGAAATGTGTTATGACTCCAGTTATGTGCCTTTGACTTTGTCAGGTGATCACATTGAGAAGTTGTTTTTGAAGATACTACGCCACTGTCAATACGTCAGTACCCAGGAGACAGCAGTCAACGACAGTGTCATAAAGGCAATGATATTTAGCTAAAAAAGAAGTTCCTTTCAAAGAGAATTTCCGGTAACTTTTTCGTTCTTTTCCATTTTAGCGTTTCTGTATTCGGAAAATTCTCTCTTTGGAAAATGTCTCCTTTTGTCGTTTTTCCATTTTTTGGTCCCTCTTGACAAAAAATTCCTTTGGCATTTAACGTCAGAGAATGATATCAAAGAAGGATCTACCTGAAACAGATTTATCAATGGAAGTTGCTATGATTGGCATATAACTAGGTATTGAAACGGTAAATAATAAAAAGTAAAGATAATTTTGACGAATTTCTTGTTTTTTTTTGTAATTCATTCTACATGGATCCCGAATTGAGAAATTTCCTCCGAAAAGTGCACTTTTGTTACTTTCTGAGCCCTAGTTTTTCTATCTGGCGAAAAATGAGAAAAATGTTTGAGGCCAGGGGACAGGCCTTGTAAATACCATGGATGAGATGACTCTCAAGCGGAAGATTTTCACAAAAAATTATTTTGATATATTACCGCTTGAACTTGCCATAATTGATTACGATGGGGCTTTGAAACAGGAAATAACGAACACAAAAATTTTAGGAGAATTTCTTGTGTTCCTTCACACTTATACTTTTATTATGGTCATAATGTGTTCAAAGAATTCTCGCTAGGGATAAATATCACTTTTTGTAGACCTCTCATTTTCTGTTTTTTTTTACGTAACAAAAAAAACAAAAAAAGTGTAGGCAAATTTACTGGAAAATTCTGTGAGGGATACTGTGACGGAGACTTATCAGAATCTTCAAAAAATTTTTTTTGAAAGGCTAGGAATTTTCACAAATAGTTGCTATGAGCTTTGAAACGGGAAACTACCAAAGAAATATTTTTGAAGTTTTTCCTGATTCTTGCAGATTTTCTTTCCGAAGTGGTCCAAGCTGGGAAAATAACACTTCTGCTCATTTCCTCATTTTCTAATTTGCTAATGAACTAAACTTCTTCAACAACCCTCGTAATCACATAAAACGCTCCGCAAACTCTTTGTTTTTACTAATTTGTCATTGTTCCTCCATAATGCAACCAATCACTAATTGGTTTCCCAAAGTCATGAAAACCTCAACTTCACTATAGGGGCCTATCATACTACTCACGTAAGATGGATTTGTACTACAAACGTATCGAAGCGTTTGATAACGAATCATTTTAGCTCTTTTGACAGCCAAGAAGACGGGCTGTGAGTTGTTGACTGAGTCTGTTCACAATCTCTTTTATTGTAGCCGTGTTTTTCTGTCCTTTCGGCTGGCCGTTCATCGATAAACAGATGACTTACACTTCACTTCCAGATACTTCTGCAATAACATACGTTGTTTTGTTAAATTGAAGCTATTTTTAGTTCTGGAAAAAGCAATCAAAGTTTTTGCAAAGGTTATGTTATTTTTTATGTTTCATCTTAGTCACAACATTTCTTTATTCCTAGAAAATTTAGCTTCAAAGACATCGCACTTCTTTTCAGAATAATCATTTCATAATTCAAAGTCATTTCTTCTTATCATAGTGAGCCAGTAATCTCAAATGTGCTAGTTGCAGGCGCGCTCGTTGCGGGACCCGCTCGATTTCCCGCTTATCTGATGATTTTTGAGTGCGCCTTACAATTCCTTATATATTGAATATGAAGAAGGAAATTACTCTATTTATCATATTATATTTTTTTTTGTTATTTATACAATGAAAAACTATAGATAAAACTAGTGAGTATCATAGCAAAGAGAGAGAATCCTAAATATCACAAATTCTTTATTATTCCAACTAAATTATCTGCTTGAAACGGCAAAGAATGAACGAATATACCTGATTTGTTTCGATTACTCCACTACATCAATCCAAAATATTTCCAACTTTTTAGGATCTTACTAGGATTTTTTTAACATCTTTAGGAGTAGAAATTCTTTAGTCTTTCACATCAATTCTGAGAAAATTTGAAAAATTCGAAAAATAGAGTAAGAGCAAAACTGACCCTCCTTAAACGTTTTCGATAGTTCAGTTGTAATTTGTACTTTTTTTCAAAGCTGAGATTCTGCATCAACATAATCTATTCTTGCTAACGTCAGAAATACAATTTTTTAATATAAAATTTTCTGCTTCTCAACTACCTCAAATTGGAGCGCTGAACGTGTACGAAGAGATAATAGCTACTTCCGAGTGCAGCGCAATTTCACCTTTACTCACATCCTATAACCACAATGTTCTTTCTATACTTTGAAGCATGATCTTCAAAGACTTTTTGTGATTTTATATTCTGCTGTTTTTTTAATAGAAAATATTTTCCTCGCTCCGTTCCACTTTGCCTTTTCAAATTCGCATCACACTCTCGTTTAGTTCGCCGAAAAAGTATCAAATCTTGCATAATTATTGCCATAACTTCTCATATTCCCTCTAAGTAAAAATTCTTGTAAACCGCTAATTGCCAAAATGGTCCTTAAAAGTCACATATCTATGGCAGTCCTTCTAATGACATTTCTGTGTGACGTTTGCTGTCTTCATACAATTCTCAGATAATGTTTTCACTGTTCAATTGAGCAGGAATCATAAAAAATCCCAGAACTTTGTTTTCAAGTTGAACTTTTCAAGCAATAAGAATGTTTATTTACCTTTATGTGACTTGAACTTTCTGACTCTTTACCACTCTTTAGTAATCATGTTTATGAATACCTTTTGAAGCTTTCTTGGGAACTACTGATGATGGGGCACCAAGAAAGCTACACTACCGGTCTAGTTCTTAGCCCCGAAACCGGTCGTGAAAAAACCAGTAGTTACCTTTAGGATATTTTGGAATTCTTGGAATGTTCTTTCTCATTGTGGACTTATCTCTTTGTTTTTGAACAAAATACGCTAAAAAGTAAATCTAAAAGCAGTAAAGGGTTTTGAAACAATATTTTTATGAATCATGTTTTGGATTTCTGCTGACGAAGAAAGTAGAATTGAAGCAAATTCAACTAGGTAGTTTTTGTTCATTCAAAAGGAAATCTGATAGTAAATCGTGATAAAGGAGTTGTGTTAATATACTTCCTCGTAAACGTCATCGTTTCGTATTTCTCGCAAGTCGCCATTCGTCACTGTCTGTTCTCTGAAAATCATAATCGAACAAAAGTCTAACAATAAGGTTTTTTGTGCCAATCTTTTCATTCGCAGACGGATGAGCTGCCGCTTGGACATTTCCTCAAAGGTTGTTTAGGGGAAATCAGAGAAGAGCTAAACAGCAAAAGCCAAAGAAGTTGTTTGGAGCAGGATAAAACGCTGCAATAAGTTTGATATTTTTTTTATTCGACGGTATCTTAAATCGCAGGTTTTGCTTCTTAACTTCTTTTTTGCAATTGTCTTAAGGGCAATCATATATAGGAAGTGGCCAAAATGCACATCAAAACCAATCTAATTTGTTGGATCCTTCATTTTTCCCTCTTGGCATTTCTGTCATCGGCGACGTTGTCTGTGTTGTCCTGCTTATCAATCTGGTAAGAAATTCCTACATGAGAAAAAAATGGTTGCATACTCCAAGAAAGAACTATAAAGAAAACTCAACTTTTAGACTTTTACCAGGTATTAACCATCAAGGATAAGTAAGCTCGGCGACATTGTCTATATTATAGACAAAAGGTCTTTCAAATGCATGATAAAAACATGTAAAGAGAGCCAAGTGGAAGGGAAATGAAAGAATTTCGGGAACAATATTTCTGCTAAATTAATCGTTTAATCATGAGGGACCTGCGTGCGATGTTGTCAGCGCGTAGGTAGGCATCAAGAGCTACAAAATGATATGCGATTTGCCGGGATTGAGTTCAAAACAACGGAGAAAAGAATACCAGAACCAAATCCTTAGAACGCCTGATAGATAGCGAGGTAGCGCGCGATAGGTGCAGGCGCAGACGAGCAAAGGAGAAACAGCAGAGACTACAAGACATTTGGCTCTTGCTCGTAGATCTCCGCAAGTTCTCAATAAAATACTGCAACAATATGTATCATTCTGATCATCATGAGACGATCGGATGCCCTGACAACGCTGCCGAGTTTAAAGACCAATATACGAGGTGAAGCTTCGTTTTCGTGTGCAGCCCTTGCTCAAATTTTAGGCGCAGTTTTGCTTCAAATAAACTTCATTAATCTTCTCCAACAAAACTCATCTATAGTGCAATATTCTAAAAAAGCAAAATATTTTTTTTAGTATGAAACATTATGAAAACGCGTTCCTTGACGTTAATGAAATCTATTACCAAGTTACGACTCGCTCTACTTTTTTGATTCACAGTCATTTCGAAATGGTTCTGAGCTTAGTATAGTAGAGTTTCTTCCCATATGTTTCCTCTTTTTATACAGATGAAGGTAGGGCTTTCTTTTACCGGTTGGAGTGAAGTTACCAGAGTATCCTCTGTACCATTAGGAGTGACGTGGGCTCGTGCGGATCGAGCCTCGCGCGACCGCCTTGCTTATGCTCTGCACCTCTTTCGCTAGCGTGCACTCTAATTATTTTCCCATGTTTATTTAGCAATTGGAGCTCGGCCTATCTCTTTACCCTTTTTCTCTTAGGTGGGAGATCAAAGAAAACGTTCGCGAAAGAGGTGCAGAGCCGAAGCGAGGCGGTTGCGCGAGACATAAGCTGCACGAGCAGCCGTCACTTCTAGTGACACAGAGGGTACATGACTAAGTATCGAAATGGATTTACGACTCACTTCTTGGCAACGTTTTGCGTTGGCGCCGCTATCCGCGTCCGTTGCCTTCTTCTATCCTTGAGAAGTAGAAATGCCAAAATAGCAAATGCTACTAACAGCGCAGCAAAGAGTAAGCATATCAGAACAATTTCCCCTGCTGAAAAATCAGAGCTATCAGTTTTCTAAAAATACTGATCTATCATGATTTTTCACATACCTTTCATGTTGAGTATTAGGATATCACATTAAAAACAACATAGCATTCTGGAAAATGTGAGTTGCATGAGAAGCAGTAGATGAAAAAAATTGTATATCGTAGGTGTACAATGCGTTTAAATGGGGCCAGCGCCGCGTTGTGCAGTCACACACCTTGCGCGCGAGCGCTACCGTATGCTGCAGCGTGCAGGGACCATGCAGAACACTATGCGGCGCTGGCCCCTTTAGAAGCATTGTACGTTGCATGGGAAAAATCACTAGAATAACGACTCTAAGTATAACTCTAAGAACTGATAGATTTGAACAATAAGAAAGCTCCTTTGGGAAGAAGGCAAATTTAGGACAAACGGCAAAAAAAGAGCATGATATCATTGCAAACACTCGACTGTCAGAATTTTCCAGTGAAGCAGCTATTATCTCCATTAAAACGTGACTTGGGAAGGGTTCCAGTCTGGTTAATCGACCATATGTCCAGTCATCAATGGGTGGAGCGCACCGACAGACTGCATATCACTTTGGGAAGCAGAAAAGATATTATTTTTGCAGGATCATTGGTTTCGGCAAAAACAATATCTTTGTTTTTGTCCCCTCTCCCTAAGCAATTACGACCGTCATTGTCACATAGTCACATACTCCGTATCAATCACGTGTTCCCTTTTCCGTAAACGCAATGAGCTTCGCGCCACGTTCGCGTGCGTATGACTCAGGCGTTCAAATAAGCCTCATCGATTGAAGGCCCGCACGCACGGCCCTTGCGTTGCGCATGTGTACTTCCCATGCGAAACGGAGTGCGTAATTGACATTGACTTTATAGGCGATTCATCGCATGCAGAGATTGGGCGCCGTGCGTCACGGCCTATTGAAATCGTTCGTGCTTGGAAGAGACAGCAGACAACCAGGGACGGAGGGAAGAGCGCTCGACCAGAGATGCCGACAGTGTCTGCAGTGACGCCCTTTCTTTGCGTGCGATGAATCGCTTATACTAGATTACCAAATAAATAATGCAACTTTTTTTTAATAACCTTCGTCTTTTTCAGTACAACGCTCTGTGATTTTATATAGATTACTAGTTGAATTACCCGGCTCCGCCCGGCCCTGTCATTATTATATTCATAATCAGCATGCTCGATTACCCCCCCCCCCCCGTGCCAACTCCCAGCCCCGTAGCTCGAATTTTGCAAAAAAATTGATAAAATCGATATCGATCGATGACGAAAAGCAGCCTATGACACCCGCCGGGGCCCGAAGTGTATGTGTGCCAAGTTTGGTCCGGATCGGTTCAGAAATGGAATTTTCTATTCGGAACATACGTACAGACAGACATACAGACATACAGACAGACAGACAAACAGACATTCAGCTTTATATATAAGATGATGTAGGCTACAAATGCAGCCATTTTTGCCGAATTTCGTCAAGATTGTAAGGGTTACGGTAGGTTTACTGTATAAGGAAGCTTTCAGACTGCTTCAGATTTTGCTGAAACATGGTCCAGGACATACTGATAACAAAAATGACACTCATTCCGCATGGAAGGGTCTCTTTCGTAAGGATGAAGTGTGACTTTTTACGTTATTGTTAGCAACATATCAGGTGGCGTACCGGGAGAGGACGAGGGGGGGGGGGCGAAATGTTTGAAAGTTATTTGCTAAAAGTTTATTTTAGCTTTATAAAAGTCTCTTTCGGGGTTATGGGCCCGCAAGAATCTTGAGAAGCATACCGAAAACTTTCTAAAATCAGGGTTATGGGCCCGCAAAAAGTTTACAAAGCATACCGAAAAATTTTTCAGAGTATGTGGCTGACGTCATGCACCTTCATCAGAAAAAAATTCTCTCTCCCCCCCCCCCCTGGGTATGCCACTGCAAAATATCAATAGATGTCTTGTTTAGTATGTATTAATCTACTTTGCGAAGTTTCGGCAAATTTTGAGGTTTCAAAGCTTAGTTATCAAAAGATGAAAAGATGCTTCTCCAAATTTGCGTCATTCTACTTTTTTGATTTGTTCTCAAATTCCATTTTTGGTTAGTTCAATAAACCAATTTCTAGCAACATGCTGCCTACATTCCCATTTAGATGTGTTCGATGCAAGAGGTGAATGGCTTCATTTTTGCTCAAATCCATAAAAGCTTGATTTTTCAGTTTTGAAAAACGTTTCCAGTTTTTTAAAGTATATTACCAAAAAATCAATTTACGTGGTCTTGTAGATTACATCACATTCTACAAAATACTAAAAAATGAAAGCGCAATGTTTGTGGAGGGAAAAGTCATGGGGAAAGTTCCAAACTTATGTGTCAACCTAATACACATAGGATGCATCATCCTCTAAAACTTTCATATCCTCTTTTTTTTCGTCTCTCCATTTCTGAACACGTCGCACATGGACATCCTTTTCAGACCCATTTTCTGCAGGAACAGCAATTACACGCTTCAGTAAGTTCTAGGCAAAAATAAGGGAGCTTAAATCTGTGATCCGAAGCAAGCATTTGTTTGTTTGAAACGAAGTGGCAGTCATGTAACGCCCAATTTGGTGGGTAGATCTTGGGGTGTTAGACGGCAAAGAAACAAAAATGCACAGTAGTCAGAAATTGCCCTAAAAAGCATTCTTAACTTGAGTTTTCACTCAGAATTTTCTTTAAGCAAGATTTATGAGACTGAAATTTGATCTTTATTACAGACATGCTATAATTTGCGCATAATTTACGGTTACGATAGGCAAATATGTGGTAAGCAGCAGCAGCATCATCATTTGGAAGTTTTATCACTCAGTGATGATTAGATATGATCAAACATCAAACCCTTGAAAAATTTCGCAAGTCACGTTTTGTCCATAAATGGAGGTGACAGCTGTATCATAGCGATGTTTTGAGTCAAGTGCCTTTTGCAATGATTTGCTGCTGATTTCAGGATTTTTTGCGTTTTTGCCGTGATTTTGCCTTCCTTTCACAGTCTTGCGCAAGAACGCGAGACGAAGTTTTTGATGAATTTATGACATAATCTTGTCAAAATAATCATTTCAGACAGTCAAAAACTCAGTCGAAAGACATCATAGGTCGATGTGTGACCAAACTTTTTGTTTCTTGAGGCACTTGTGATTTTTTTGGGTAGGAAGTTGATGTCTTTTGAGTTTCTGCGTTCCAAAAGCTCTAACATCACACTCTCAAATTTCCTGCTAAGTCTTAAAGGCAGCATTCAGGCAAGACCCATCCACCCAGATTAGCACATAGTTGTAAGAGGGGCCCATGAGTATCCGATCTGCGTTGGTCCGATCCTTTGACGTGGCCTCTAAAAGGAGATACGGGCCTGTGATACGTATCACAAACCGCCCCTTCGTATCACAAACCACCCTTGAGGACGAGTGCTCACGCAGGCAGTTGCATTGCAGCATTCGTGGAGTGCAGCTCCTCAAGCTGGCATGCGATGGGGACAAGCAATCCAAAACTCGTCCTCTCCTTGAAAAGAGGGTCCCCAAGAATTGGGTTTTTTGAGGGTTTTGAACAAATTGAACTTCACAACTGTAATCAGGGCCACGGAAAGGCCCCAGATTGGCAGAAACAAGAGAGGCGAAGTTTTGCCCGGACGCTGCCTTTAAGCATGTGTCTGTCTAGATTGAACTCAGTTGCCATTTTTGTATAGTAACACATAATTTATAGCTACTCCGCTACAGTATTCCACAACTACCGTGTATATACCGTACACCTTACTCTCCATCTGTGTCGCCAATCTATAAACATCTCCCAAAATGCCAATTTGCACTTGAAGTGACAATATTTCAAATTTTTACAATACCAAAGTATGCGATTCATTTCGTGGAAAGGAATATTTTTTCAAAACTTCATCATTATTCACATCGTAGCACACAGTTACTTAGCAAATAATCAAAAAAGGGGAGGGGGTTGGAGCGACAAATTTTGTTCTTATTTTCCTCTGTTATACTTCTTTCTTCCTTTCAGGAAATCAGAGAAATCACTGAAATTAAGCAGACTTTAACCTTACAAGCCGTCAAGTATGTTGTGCAATATGCAAATTAACTAGTCTTCTTCATTCGGGAGGTTATTTACTCATAGAATTTGTATCAATATAACTCCTCATAAAATCCCGATTGGTTTTCATCTCGTGTTCTTCGCAAGCCCAATGTAGTGATTGGCACTGGCAGCTCTCTAAAAATTTTGACTGAACAAAAAAATTCGTAAAATTTCTTTCGCTTCAACCTTTGTCCGGATTCGGCTTTCCATCGCTCTTGAGTTTCGTCATTACTCAGGTATGTCTCAAGAAATGAGCTCATAGTGACGGTTGTTTGAGTCGCACTGGTTCTTGACGAAATTTTAATCGAAGGTGGTCGATCCAGATTGTAGCTGAAACAAGAATATTTGGAAATGACCACAAGGTCTTAGCTGAGCCATTTCCGAAGCGCTCAGATAATTCACTCCGTTCGAAAAGTTCAAGCTCAAATAATCGCCCACTACCGTAACCGAGCTCGCTGATCGGAAGAGAGTACGGTACTGGGCAAGAATGTCTGAGTCATATGACTATCGTTTATTTATGAGATTTGGCAAACCTACATCCGAACTATATTCACTTGATACTGCCTACAAGAATCTGCTCCCCCCCCCCCAAAAAAAAGAAGATAACGGCTTACTTCCTGGAAAATCGAGAAATCGAGAACGCTGATTGGGAAGATTACGGTAGGAGATAGATTACGGTAGATTACGGTAGTGAGCGAGAGTTCAGACTTGAATTTCTCGGCCACGACTAAATCGTATGAGCTCAGCTTGGGGAAAATTTACGTCTAGATAAATTCACCTAGACCCGTCTAGACATAGCTTTAAAAGGCCTCTTCACCCCTGCACCTCCCCCATAAAAATTTACCCACTTCTTGGCGACATTTTGCGCTGCTATCGGCTTCTGTTGCCTCTTTGTCTGTTGCCACTTAATGAATAAATATAGCAGAAAAGCAGAAAAAACTAGGAATATCACAACGGAGCCTATGCATATCAAAACGATATCCATTGCTGAAAGGTTAGAGCTATTATCTTCTTAAAAATATCAATTTTGAATCAAACCTACACCTTGTAGAGACATTGTAGAATTTCAGGATATCATCACATCAAGAGCAACATACAGTCCTGAAAAATTGCGATTTGCACTAACAGCAGTGGAGAAAATAAATACGGGTGTACGGTAGGCGTAAAAAATGAGAAGATAACGGAACCTTTCTAGAAAATCAGCAAGATTTGTAGAATAACGAATATAAGTTCGACTTTGAATCTTTGGATTCAAGTAGAAGATTAGCTAGTAGTTTTTTAGAATGCATAAATAATACTAAGATTTAGATAGGTTTACGGTACATGTAAAAATCTGCAAATCCAAGCTGATGCGTGCAGGAAACACCCGGCCTGTCACTGTATGTGAAGCAACTGTTATCTCCATTCATAGATAAAACGTGATGACTTGGAACTTCAAATTCTTGATAATCGAATGTATTATCAATGGTTGACATTTTCTGAATCTATCTGCTACTAACCACCGTATATGGACATCATAACCTTTGACCTTTACATCGTTTTCGCATGAGGACCAAATTTCCTCACGCATCGTAGTGTTTTCGACAATTGGATCAAATTCTTCAGAATTTTTGTAGCAACACTTATGGAACCAGAACTTTGGTTTTTATTCGCACATCATATAATTCGCGCATAATTTATGGTCACGATTGGCACGAATATGGTAGTTAGCAGCAGCCTTCGAAAATTTTATCACTTACTGTTGATTAGACATATGGTCGATTAAATAGTGGAAAGTTTTTCCAAGTCACATTTTAGCAGTAAATGGAGATAACACTCACTTCATAGAGAGCTGTGGCAGTGTGCGTTTTGCAATGTTTTTCTGCAAAATTCATTATTTGCTGTTTGCCGTATTTTCGCGTTTTTCATATAATGTTGCGCAACAATGTGGGAAGAAGTTTTAATAAATCTATATCATAATCTTGTCAAATTAATTACTTAAGACAATCAAAAACACAGTCGGAAGACGTGATCAATAATTCGATCTACGGTCTCTTAGATGAAAATTATTTTTATTTTTAACAAAATTCCATTCTCAATTTGTGCTTTGTTAAGAAGACTACAATTCAGTTGTTATCTAGTTAATTTACAATTTTCTGCTATCGAAACTATAACGTTCTGTTCTCCATTACCTAGTGAAATAATTCCGTCATACATAGTATTGCTATCTTACAGATTTCTGCATATACCGTAAACCTACCGTACAACCTATTACTCATCAAGAATTCTAAAGGGCCACTAGCTATTTTTCTGTTCAAATACATCATTTCCTTATAGTCCTTACAACCGCTATTACTGCGTTTTCCGTATGTAGCGTAACCTATGCAACTGGACTGTTGCGACCTAATTTAAGCCGCTCGCGCCCGCGGCGCAGCATGCGTCTCTCTCGCCGCGTGCCCTCTGAACACTCTCTAGCCTTAACTAGATCATGAAGCCCCGCCTATCAGCTGCCAATTCGTTGAATCAAAGGGTACACCTACACCTACCGTACAATTCTTTCCTCCACTACCTTCAATGCAAAATAGTTTTCCAAATGGTATGTCGGTTCTGATGTAAATTTCTGATATTCGACATGCTATGATATACCTGATAAAATCATAATAAACCAATTTTTGCACTCGAAAAGTTTTCGCTGCTCGTCTTCCCACTTTTGAGAACATGTATAAGCTCCTGCAAGACGAAGGCGGTCGGTTCGAGGTACGACGTGGCTGTGACGCGGCTGTGACGCAGCCATGTCGCAGCCGCGTTGCGCATTAAACCGACCGCCTTCGTCTTGCAGGAGCTTATAGTATACTTGATGGAGGCTAAAAATATGGAACAAAAATAATGTAGGCTAAGTTCAACGGTTTACATAGAAGTGGCCGAGAAAAATTAACCGAAAAACAAGTGCTTTACGGCCACTTCTTTACTTGCAAGTTGTTATCAGCAAAGCATATTCTTCTCGCGCAAGTGTCGTTGGCACCGCAAAAGACTTTATCAGTGGTGAAATTCATTGCATTTTGCATCCATTTGGCTCATTCTACCGTGTTTCGACATCTACCTGATTTAACCAACAGATGTAAATAGTCAGACAAAATTTCACATTGCCCCTCTAGTTACTGTAGTAATTTACGATTGAAAATAGGTGCAAATATTAGGCTGTTACATAAGTCTTGTTACACTTAACTTCTAACGGCGTTAAGTCATACACCTCATAGTCTTTGCAGGACTCCAAGAGACCATTCGATAGAGCAAAGCAAGCTCTACAAAATGGTCTGCAAAAGTTCGCACCACTCCGACCCACCGTAAGTTTGCACCCAAAATCTGAGTCGTACTGATATTCAAAAAATCGCGAAAAATTCATATCTTTATTCAAACAAATCCTACGGATCTCCAACTTGCTCAAAAAAAATTGCACACTATATCAAACACTCATATGTACCGTTGCTGTATTTTTTCCTTATCTAGAAATCGAGAAAAAGAATTTTTTTAAATTTCTACAAAAACGAAGCTATGCTGTTTCTATTCATGTAGCTATATACTACAAGCTCTTAGAAGTATGACCGTAAATTTTCAGCTTCCCAGAAGCCCTAGTTTTCGAGAAATACCTAATTTAGCATTGAACACCCGAGTGATTGGAGCTAAATTTGATATTTCTCGAAAACTAGGGCTTCCGGGAAGCTGAAAATTTACGGTTATACTTTTAAGGGCTTGTAGTATACAGCTACATGGATAGAAACAGCATAGCTTCGTTTTTGTAAAAACTCAAAAATTTTACTTTTCTCGATTTCTAGATAAGGAAAAAATACAGCAACGGTACATATGAGTGTTTGATATAGTGTGCAATTTTTTTTGAGCAAGTTGGAGATCCGTAGGATTTGTTTGAACAAAGATATGAATTTTTCGCGATTTTTTGAATTTCAGTACGACTCAGATTTTGGGTGCAAACTTACGGTGGGTCGGAGCTGGTGCGAACTTTTGCAGACCATTTTGTAGAGCTTGCTTTGCTCTATCGAATGGTACCTTGAGTCCTGCAAAGACTATGAGGTGTATGACTTATCGCCGTTAGAAGTTAAGTGTAACAAGACTTATGTAACAACCAATACATTAGCACCATTTCGAGTTTTTAAGTTTTACAGTTCATTTATTACGTATGTAGTCAATATCACCACCTTCAAGATTTCTCCAAGTCACGTTCTAACCATAAATAGAGATGACTGCTGCTTCACTAAAAACTTCTGACAGTCGAGCACCTTTCCCAGCCATTTATTGCAGAATTCAGCATTTTTTGCTGTTTGTCATGACTTTCCTTTCTTTTCACAATCTTGCGCAGGGAAACGAAGTTTTATTGAATCTATAACATAATCTTGTCAAAATAATTATTTCAGACAGTAAAAAACACAGTCGAAAGACATGATTAGTCGATGTGTGGGCCAATCTTTTTGTTTCTTAAGGTACTTATGATTTTTTAGGTAAGAAGTTGATGTCTTTTGAGTCTTTCCAATCGAAACTTTACCATCACACCCTCAAATACTAATAGTGCTAAATTTTAAGCATGTTGTCTGTCTAGATTGAACCCAATTGCCACTGTTGTATCGTAGCGCATAATTTGTGGCTACTCCGCTGCAGTATTTTATACCTACCGTATATATAACGTACAACTACCGTAACCTTACTCTCCATCTATGTCGCCAATCTATAAACGTATCCCAAGATGTGTATCGCTCTTGATATGATGATATCTTAATTTTCGACAATACCAAGGTATTCGAAAATTCATTCTGAGGAAGAATATTTTTTTAGCATTTCAAAGAGCCCTTATTCACATCATAACACACAATTACTTAGCAAATAGCCAAGAAAGGAAAGGGTTAGAGCGACAAATATTGTTCTTACTTTCCTCTGTTATACTTCTTTCTTCTCTTCAGAAAATCAGAAAAGTCACTGAAATAAAGCGACTTTAACCTGACAAGCCGTAAAGTAGTGCATTTAGTGTGCGATACGGCAAAATCAACTAGTTCTCTTCATTCGGGAGCTTATTACTTGTAAATCATCATAGTTTGTGTTAATCTATTTCCTCGTAATACTCGTAGTATCCCGATTCGTTCTCATTTCGTGTTTTTCGCAAGTCTAGTGTAGCCACTGGCAGCTCTCTAAAAATTATGACTAAAGAAAAAATTCGAAAAAATTTTTTCGGTTCAACCTTTGTCCGGATTCGGCTTTCCGTCGCTCTTGAGTTTCTCCAATACTCAAGTACGTCTCAGGAAATGAGCTCATAGTGATGGTTGTCTGAGTTGCACTGGTTTTTAACGAAGTTGTAATCGGAGGTGGTCGGTCCAAGTTGTTGCTAAAAAAGCACAAGAATATCAGGGAAATGACTACAAGGTCTTAGCTGAGCCATTTCTAAAGCGCTCAGATAATTCACTCCGTTCGAAAGGCTCAAGCTCAAATAACCGCCCACTACCGTAATCGAGCTCGCTGATCGGAGGAGATTACGGTACTGGGCGAGAATGTCTGAGTCATATGACTCGCTTATGAGTGACTTGGCACACCTACATCCGAACTATATTTGCTTGGTACCGCCTTCAAGAATCCGCTCCTCTCCCCCCCCCCCCTCCCAAAAAAAGGAAATACCGATTAACTTTTGGAAAATCGAGAAGTCGAGAACGCTAATTGGGAAGATTACGGTAGGAGATAGATTACGGTAGATTACGGTAGTGAGCGAGAGTTCAGACTTGAATTTCTCGGCCACGACTAAATCGTATGAGCTCAGCTTGGGGAAAATTTACATCTAGATAAATTCACCTAGACTCGTCTAGACATAGCTTTGAAAGGCCTCTTCACTCCTGCACCTCCCCCTCCCCAAAAAATATAAAAATTTACCCACTTTCTGGCAACATTTTGCGCTGCTATCGGCTTCTGTTGCCTCTTTGTCTGTTGCCACTTAATGAATAAATATAGCGGAAAAGCAGATAAAACTAGGAATATCACAACGACTATCACAACGCCTATCCATATCAAAACATTATCCATTGCTGAAAGGTCAGAGCTATTATCTTCTTAAAAATATCAATTTTGAATCAAGCCTACACCTTGTAGAGACATTGTAGAAATTCAGGATATCATCACATCAAGAGCAACATATTATCTATTCTACGACCAGGAGACGTGAAACCGCATTGCGGACATTGTCTTAACAAGTCTGAATTTGTTATTCCCTGTTTCCAAAGAGTGAATAAACCTGGACGAGATAAACGACAAGTATAAACCTGCTAACGAGGGGAGGACACTTGATGACCGTGGCTTTTTGCAACGAGATGTATACCAGTAGGTGCGTCTTGAAAAGCTGATTCTGAATCTATGTTCACTATCTGCTGTGCGACTCCCTGAACGAAGTTATTGACTTTTTTCCATATTGATTTTGCGAGATTTAGGTAGTTGAAATCATCAGTATCCAGGCTTTTTAGACTCTGTGTATCAGGTGACAGGTTTCCTGAGCTTAACATGAAACTTTGCTTTATTTGGACGCTCTTTGGTAGTGCGTAAGCGAACATTCTAACGATATTGGTGAATCCTGCATCAAAAACAGTGCAAGTTTTGGCGACAAAAAATGTTCATAACTTCTTTTGGAAGAGCGCACAGCAGATACCGAAAGCAGAATTGGAATCAGCGCTTCAAGATGCACTTAATGGTATACGTTTCATTTCGAAAGGCCACGGTCACCAAGTATCCTTTCCTTGTAAGTACACGATCAGGCTTGTTTAGACAATGTGTGCAATGCGGTCTCGCGTCTCCTGATCACAGAATGAACGATACAATCCTGAAAAATTGCGAATTGCACTGACAACAGTGGAGAAAAATTATTTACGGGTGTACTGTAGGCGTAAAAAATGAGAAGATAACGGAACCTTTCTAGAAAATCAGCATGATTCATAGAATAACAATTGTAAGTTCGACTTTAGATCAATGGATTCAAGTAAAAGATTAGCTAGTAGTCTTTTAGAATGCATAATAATACCAGGGTTCACGGTACATGTAAAAATCTGCAGATCGGAGCTGATGCGTGCAGGAAACACCCGGCCTGTCATTGTATGTGAAGCAACTGTTATCTCCATTCATAGATAAAAGGTGATGACTTGGAAACTCCAAATTTTGATAATCGAATGTATTATCAATGGTTGACATTTTCTAAATCTATCTGCTACTAATTACCGTATATGGACATCATAACCTTATAATCATGCGCAAATTATATCGTTTTCGCATGAGGACCAAATTTCTAGTCTCATGCATCGTAGCGTTTTCAACAACGTTTTTGGATCAAATTCTTCAGAATTTTTGTTGCAACACTTATGGAACCAGAACTTTGGTTCTATTCGCACACCATATAATTTGCGCATAATTTATGGTCACCTGGTTTGTGGCACGAGTATGGTAATTAGCAGCCTTCGAAAATTTTATCACTTACTGATGATTAGACATATGGTCGGTCGATAATCAAATGGTGGAAAATTTTTCTAAGTCACGTTTTTTAACCATAAATGGAAAGATAACAGCTGCATCTCAGGGAAGTTGTGATAGTCAAGTGCGTTTTGCAATGTTTTCCTGCAAAATTAATTATTTGCTGTTTGCCGTAGTTTTGCGTTTTTCATATAATGTTGCGCAAGAATTTAAGAAGAAGTATTTGATAAATTTATATTATAATTTTGTCAAATTAATTACTTAAGATCGAAAACACAGTCGAAAGACATGATCAATAATTTGATATACGATCTTTTACAGTAAATTATTTTTTTTTGTCAAAAAATAACATTTCGATCTAGGCTTTGTTAAGAAGACTACGATCCAACTGTTATTTAGCTGATTTATAATCTTCCGCATTCTAGAAAGTTTGTGTAATGTTCTGCTTTTCATTCTCCTAGTGCAGATAATCCCGTCATACACCATATTGCGATGCAGATTTTTACATGTACCGTAAACCTAGCCCTACCATAACTGGTTTTCTCCTCCACTGCTTTGCTCACATTTTCCAGAATAGTATGTTGCTTTGATGTAATTTTCTGATATTCGACATGCTAATGTATCTGATAAAATTATGGTAAATCAATTTTTGCAATCGGAATTTTTTCGCGGCTCAACCTCATTTTAAAAAAACATAGTTTACTTGATGGAGGGCCAAAAATATGGAAAAAAACAATTTAGGCTGAGTACAATCAACTGTTCATTGAAAAGGGGCCATTAAGAAAAAAATTAGCCAAAAAACAAGCGGCCATTTTGAGCTCAGATCGTCATCGGTATGGCATATTCTTCTCGCGCAAGTGTTGTTACCACCGCCAAAGCACTTTTTCAATGGTCAAATGTGCTGCATTTTGCATCCATTACCGCTTATTCTACCGTTTTTGATATCTATCTACTTTAACCATCAGATGTAAATAGTCAAACAGAATTTCATTTTGCCAGTCAAGATACTGTAATTTTTGAGTAATTTACGATAAAAAATAGGTGCAAATACGGCAATTGGTGCCATTCCGCGTCTTTAAGTTTTATAGCTCATTGATTACGGATGTAGTCAATATTACAACCTTCAAGAATTCCCCAAGTCACGTCCTACCCATAAATGGATGACAGCTCCTTCACAAAAAAAACTTCTGACAGTTGAGCACCTTTCCCAGCCCTTTATTGTAGAGTTCAGCATTTTTTTTGCTATTTGCCATAACTTTCTTTTCTTTTCATAATCTTGAAAACGAAGGAAACCAAGGTTTTTGATGAATCTATAACATAATCTTGTCAAACTAATTACTCAAGACAATCGAAAACAATCGGGAGACGTAGTCGGTTTGATCTATGATGATTATTATCGTTTCTTACCGTACTTAGTTTCTATAAAATTTCTTCAATTATTGATCTGTCAAAGATTTTTTATTCTTTAGTCGTTTTCTCTGAAGTTTTTGCACCTATCACACGAAATTCCTCCGATACGTCTTTGAAATTTCCCATTTCTTTCTTTTTTCAGACAGTTCAAAACCCTTGGTTCTCATCAATGCTTCTCTGTTGCAGATTTTCATAGAATTTTGTTTGCTTCGCTTTTCAGAAATCTTGGTTTCGATCTTCAACCGAAATTATAATTTTCCTATCGTCATACTCAACATTGTTATCCTGGACATTTTTTGCATACCGTATACCTACCGTACACCTTACGTTCGTCATAAATTCTCAAGTATTACCAACTTGTTTTTTCATCCAAATTATTTCTCTTACCATGTACTATACTCTGCTATACTCTGTCCTACCGTACACCTACCGTAAACCTCATTTTCCCCTCACCACCGTCAGTACAACTCGCCATTTTTTTCAGGATGGTATGTTGCTCTTGATGTGATGATATCCTGAATTTCGAAAATGTCTCTTCAAGGTATGTGGCATTTTTCAAAAAATCTATATTTTCGAGAGAATAATAGCTCTAGTTTTTCAGCAATGGATATTGTTCTGATATGCTTAGGCTCTGTTGTATTATTCCTAGCTTTATTTGCTTTTCTGCTATATCTATTCATCAAGCAAAGGAAGTGGCAACAGAAGCCGACAGCAACGCAAAATGTCGCCAGAAAGTAAGTCGTAAATATTTTCGTCTTCTAGGGGGGGGGGGGGGAAGATGTTGGAGATTTAGTCCAGACAGATCTAGGCAGAAATTCACTTACATGTGTCAAATCACTATTAAGTGAAGCTCATAGCATGCAACTGCGGCCGAGAAATTCAAGTTTGAACTCTTGCCCACTACCGTAATCTTTGCAATCAGCGATCTCGATTACGGTATTGGGCGAGAATTTGCACTCAAATTTCTCGGTCGGGTATAATTCATTTGAGCTGGCACTTTAACAAATGGCTTAGTTATGACTCCCCAATTGATTTTCCACCTACCAAAATGCTTTGTAATTTTAGTTACTATCTAAATCGACCACCGTCAATCACATCGTCGTTAAAAAACGGTGCAGCTCCTACCATCGTCACTGTCAACCCACCTAATGAGACGTACTTGCGTAATGGCGGAACTCAAGAGCGACGGAAACGTCCTGAAAATCGCGAAAATGGAGAGTTGGTCGTGGAGAAGGTGTCTGAAACTAAGGATGTAAAAAATAATGAGGAAGTACATCATTCTCCAGGTGCAAACTCTCTTAAACGACAAAATAGGTAAGCTGTTAATTTGTGACAGTTGCCCGTGGAAATCTACAAAATTGTCCTTTGAGGCCTTGCAAAATCAAGCTCACCCCGGATGTGGCAGTGGCTGCACAAGCTGAAGCCGTGCAAACGTTAGTTCGAAGAATTCTTCCAAAATTTGTTTTTTTTTTGCAAATAGCGCAGTTTTTTCCAGAGAACATACAGTGTCAGACTTCTTAGAAGACCTGAAAAAAATACGAGACGGGAACGATTCAGTACTTTACGAAGAGTTTCAGGTTAGCAACACCAACCTCTAGCGAGTTTCATTGTCATCAAAGTCAAATTCACTTAGTTTTTGATAGATACTCGAGACAAAAGAAGCAGCAAGGGGAAGGAATTGCTCAGTTGCCGAACGAGAACGAACACGAAACCGATTCATAGATATTTTGCCAAGTAAGCTGAAGGGTCTCTTTGAAAAATTCCAAACTAGACGTCTTTTGTTCAGACGATGATACGCGAGTAATCCTTCGAGGACCAGTCGATTACATTAATGCCAGCTTGATAGATGTAAGGATTTTCTTCAATATTCAACAACCATGATTAATCAGAAAAAACTTTTCATGCGAGCAACACAGTTTTTGCTCCCACACCCAAACATGGAACGTTAAAAATACTTATTTTCGTCGCATCAAAAAATAATAGCATTTTCAATTATATTACTCTAAATTTTTACTATAAACAAATCACTTTGTCAAAGAAAGTAGTCAGAACCTCCGTTAATCCTAGCTATCTGATTGTCTTGAAAGAAACTGAAATTTACCTGGTACCTCCTCTATCAGATCGGTGAAAATTTGATTGAACACTATATTATTATGGCGTTAGGATACTATGCAATGATGCTTTGAAATGATGAAAAATTCAAAAGTCAAAGTCTTATCTATTGATAGTGATCAATATTTTTATCATGTGCTTGATAAGTAAAGCGCTTTGTATCACGAAATTTTGTCTTGCTCCCAAGAAAGGCAGAGCATTATGTTCAACATTCAAGCAAATGACCCGAAATTTTTGGACCTTTGGCATCTTTTCAATTAAAGGCAGCGTCCAGGCAGATGTGGACCTATGGGGCTTTTACGTGGAAAGTACTTTTGGGGCCCTAACTAAGGCATTGCCCAAGCGGCAGTTCAGGTAGGCTCTAATGGCTGAGATATTCCCCTCGAAACTGGCCCCCGCAACCGTGTTTCGCATGGATTCATGGCGCAAAGCGTGGATCCTGGCGCGAAACTGCCATGAATCCATGCGAATACGTTCGCGGGGGCCAGTTTCGAGGGGAATATCTCAGCCATTAGAGCACTACCTGAACTGCCGCTTGGGCAATGCCTTAGTTAAGGCCCCAAAAGTACTTTCCACGTAAAAGCCCCATAGGTCCAGATCTGCCTGGACGCTGCCTTTAAGGAAGTAGTACTGCGAAACTTAGAGATTCCAGTCTTAGCTTAGCAAAAACCATTGCGCTTACGAAATTATTTTCGGATCAAATATACAAATATTAAAAGTGAAACTAGCTCTATAAATATTTCAGGGCTACAAAAATGCCGGACAATTCATTGCCACACAAGGACCTGTCGGTCCAGAAGAAGTCTCTGACGGTAGGAAAGAGAGCACGGTAAGGAGAACTGATTACTCTCGTTCTTTGTTCGTGCAAAAAAATATTAAATCCAGGTGGACGATTTCTGGAGAATGATCTGGGAGAAGAATGTGCAATGCGTGCTAATGCTTACTGATTGTGTGGAAAATATGAGGGTAAGACTATTACAAACAAGTTGTTCTCAGAGATTTTGTCATTTTTAGCAGACAATTTTTTTGTTATTGCAGCAACGATGTACTCAATACTGGCCTGAGTTGGGTGAGTCACGAAAGTTTGGCGATGTGGATGTGGAATTGCGTTCCGAATCCGTCGATCCTGTCTGTACTCATCGAGAGCTGGACATCAAAAAAGGTGTTGAGACAAAAGAGGTTAGTTCTTCTACTGCTTTGAACAGGTACAGCTTTAAACGTATCCTTTAGGTCTCACAATACCACTTCCTAAATTGGAAAGATGCCAAAGGTCCAGAATCTACGGGTCATTTGCTCGATTTTATTGAACGGGTGATGAACAAACAGTACCGGAAGCCAATTGTCGTTCACTGCAGGTAGAGTGAGATCATTTCCCACTTGATTAAACCTCTAAAAAGTGAAATGAAAAATTACGTGAAAATTTGACGGAAAACCCTGACCTACCTACCGCTACCGTGACCCGAACTTGCCCATCCATCGGCAAAATGGGCCGCATCCAATTATTGCGGAATGCAGCTTGTTGTCTACAACAAACAACTTCGGTTCTTGAGTTCATATTATTACAAATGCGACCGTAGTCCGCTAACGCGGCAGGATACGGTAGCATATTGTAGCAGTGCAGAAGAGCCTACTTCTGTTTAAAAGAGCCTTAGCAATGGAAAACTTTACAAAAATTATAAATACGAAAGTCTTTGCAGTGCCGGCGTTGGTCGAACGGGGGTACTGATTGCATTATGGCGATTAATCGAACGAGCACGGACAGAGCATGTAATCGACATTTTCGGGTAAGTCCCTTCTAATATAGTTGAGCCTCAAAGGCAGTGTTCACTAATGGACTGATGTCACCACCACTTACAGTCTGCCCCAATCCCAATCACGCCAAAATTGGCATGGCGGGAGACCGCGTCGCTAGGGTTTCGCGGTCACGCCCACGGCCTGCTTCTCTGCCCTCTCTTCAATCTTTTTGTTCTCTCTAGCAGCGCGCACATGCAGCGCAGACCGTTAGCGCTGCGAGCGCGCAAATTTACGCCGACGGTTCGGCCTGATCCCGATTGGAGCAGACTGTACACCCAATCGTAAATGTAAAATGGTTTACAAAAAAGACAAATCGGAGGAGCTAAAAAAGTTGCAATGTATTAATTAGCAAGAGAGGGTGTATGAGAGAGGACTAACACAAAAACCAAATCATTTCAAAACAAACGAACAAATCAACAACCTAGGACGGGCAACCTGAAATATGGGGCAACGAGTTTCGCGACTTCACTCTATCTTATCACTTTCTCTTCATCTTATAAACGCAAAAGAAAAACCTAACCTGCCTACAGAAACCTAATGTAAGCATAAGTATGAGACTAACCCAAATGTAAGAATGCTAGAATAAGGACCACAATCGACGCGAATGGCCATGAAACCAGCGAATCACGAATGGTGGTTTCTTCCACACGTTTGAACTTTTGCAAAAATTCAACGATGTAAGAGAAATGCAGATTTTCACACGACGATATCAGCATACAAGGAAACTTAGCGGTAGCTATTCTCCAAAACAGGAAGGCCAACCCTCAAAATAGGGCAATATGAAGTCTACTTTATTAGAATTTCGCGCCAAATCAGAGTTGCGCGGTCGCAACGCGATGATTAGAACAATGCCGATATGGGACAAGAATGACCATAATCCAGATTATGTTTCTATCGCTGTCGAGTCAATGTTGCATCAGTTCAAATCAATCTTCACTTTTAGTACCGTCGATGCCCTTCGAAAGCAACGTAGCCGTATGGTGCAAACACCTGAACAATACCTCACATTGTACGAAGCATTATCACTTGCAATTGTCGAAGAACGATTATAGTATATGCCTTTTCTACCAATACGGATTGAAGAAGACTTATCGATTTATTCACATATCCATAGTTTGTATATACATTTGTGTACGGAAAGCAATAAGGGAGATGCATTTTTGAATATGAACGATTGAATTGCCTGTTTACACTGTTCATGTCGACAGAGATGCTAGATGATAAAAAAGTAAAGCTTGTGGTGTAGTAAAGAGGAGAACTATGGCGCTTCGATTTCCTTTCTGCAACTAGCTGTCTCCTAATGCCTGATGCTTGCAAGATGCGCTACTTAGTCCACTACTTCTGACTTGCGCACAACTCACAAGGACTCATTGAGATTTATCCTCGAGACAGAGAATAACCTCTTCATTACTTGACATGGAACAAACATGGGACCAGCAGCAATCTCATAACAGAGTTGGTCGAGAGTTTGATGCTTTTGATTACGGCGACGTCACAGGTTCGGTTGCGCGGCGGTCCTATTCTTTAGGAAAGCTCTGGTCACGAATCGACAAGCCGGCTGAAGAAGACAACCCGTCGCATTAGGACACTCTTATATATTTCATTAGATTATTGGAGTAAAAGCTAGGGCGTTCTCTAAAGGCGACGTTTGGCTAACGAATGCGTACAGTAAGCTTCACCGTCTTATCAGAATGAGCTGAGAGGGCTGGAGAGGGTAGTTTACTATCAAAAGCACAACCACAGTTCCGACTGAGTCTAGCTAAACTCAAGTTGGTTCTCTCACAGCGCGAAATGGGGTTTTGTCAACGGTATCAGCATGCCCGCTCACACCGTTATGCCAACTCCCAGCCCGTTGCTAAACTTTGCAAAAAATCTACACAATCGATAAAAGTAATGGATTATCATGAGGACTAATATCGTATTCGTAATCAGTATGCTCACTTACCCCCTGTTCCAACTCCCAGCCCCGGGGCTCACTCAAACCATAGGTGCGATAGGTGGAGCAATTTCTCTGTCTCCACCCCCCTCCCTTTTGGTCCGGCATATGAATGATCCCCTTCACCTGGATTGCAACGAGGGTCAAGGCATAATAGCAGAATTAAAACAGCTATGATAAATGGTGCACATTTAGTTTGGGACCGCCAGCTGCTGCTTCTTCTTAGTCAGTGCATGACATGACTGCATTTTTGCAGCGTTTGCAAAAAGCAAGTGAAACCTCTTGTCTCATTCAGAATGGTTTAGTTTCGACAGCGAAGTAAACCCAATATGGAGGTTGTTTTTTTTTTGAATAAGCAACACTGCTTAAAGGCAGCGGATCGGCAAAATCCAACAATTGGGAATTTTAACGCGGTAGGTTCCTTATCGCCCAACTATGAAAGCAGTGCAATCCCGGTTGCACAGCATGCTTTCCCTGCCGAGAAAATCTCTCTCGAATGTACACGCGCAGGCCAATCTTACACGCATTTGGACAAGTTGGCAATTTCCTTCTCATCATTGGAGGCTGCCCGCCGCAACGTTATAACCATTGGGTCCTGCCACGATTTAGCGTCATCGGCCTTGCTCCACTCGTCCAATATCAAAGGGAAGGGCATTGAAAAACGCTCATTTTCGCCGTTGTTAAGCTTTCAAAAGTGGATTTTCGGGATCAGCGTATTGAAAAACCCCAGGTAAGTGCAAATTTGACCAGGTTGAGATTTGCCGAGCCACTGCTTTTAATGAAAATATAGTGTCACCCACGGATCTCCCTCATAGAGGGATCACAGCCGGTTAGTCGCGAGGCTACGTGGGGCGTCCCTAGGTGGCGGATAGGGGGATAATCGCCGACCAAAAGCGACCCGCGCCTGCTCTGATAAGCAAGCGGAGCCGGGGGACGGACTCCCTGCCTCCACTAAAAGCTTGCGTCCTAATTTCCCGGGTAGGTGTGTGGGGAGGCGAGTTCGGAGTCGCCTCCAACATAAGCTCCGATCGTCCCTCGCGGGGGTTTTGAGCCCAACAAGCTATCCCTGCGAGTAAATTCTTGTTCGACACAGTGATAATATGGAAAGCTCCTTTAATCTTGGAAGAGCCACTGGTAAGGCAGCGCCAGTGGGGACAAGGTTTGAAAGGCGATCTAGGCTGCCGAAAACGAGACGGACTATGATGACGATCTGTACTTACAACGCGAGGACGCTGGCATCGGACGCATCTATCGAAGATCTCATGATGCAAGCAAGGAAGATTAAGTACGACGTCATCGGACTGACCGAGACAAGGAGGCACCACCCGCTGAACGCCACATTTGAGACTGGAGAAGAACTGTTTCTAGGAACATGCGACAGTCGAGGAGTAGGTGGAGTGGGAGTCCTTGTCAACACGAGTTTGGCCATGAACATCGATTCGTTCGAACAACTTACAACTCGAATCGGACGTTTGCGAATATCAAGATGTGGATCAATCCCTGCCTTGACCGTCTTCATTGCGTACGCCCCAACATCCAGCTACGACGAGGACGAACTCGAGGAATTTTATATGGACTTGGAGAAGTTCTACAGAGAAGATCATACCTTCTACAAGATCATCGTCGGTGATTTCAACGCGAAGATCGGAACTAGAAGGTCAACTGAGGAACTTCACATCGGAACCCATGGTTTGCAGTGGAACGAACAAGGGGAGAGACTGTCCGAGTTTATCATGACGACGAGGACTATCCATGGAAACTCACAGTTCCAAAAGCCCTCTTCCCTACGCTGGACCTGGGAATCGCCCGGTGGAGAGTACCATAACGAGATTGACCACATCATCGTCAACAGAAGGTACTGCCTGACGGACGTCGCTGTTGTTCCGAAGTTCTACACGGGATCAGACCATCGTCTCCTGCGCGCCAAATTCTACTTTCCGCGGAATGGAGAAAGAGCCGTCAAGTTCAGGAAACATCGTCCCATGAATACCACCAACTGGGATCTGTTTTCTTCGATATCCGGCTCATGGCGAGATACCGTGATGGACAACATCGACGAAGAATACGAACGGTTCGTACAACATCTCCACGGTTGTGCCAAGGAAGCTCAGAGTCTAAGAAGTACGAGAAGGCGTCTCACCACGGGGACTTTGGAGCTGATACGCCAACGTGGACGCGCACGAGCCACAGGCAACTACCGACTGACGTCCGAGCTTGCGAAGCGATGCAGAGAAGCGATAAAAGAAGACCTTAAGGAGAGAAGAGTAGCAGTGATGGTCGACGCCGCGGAGGCTGGAAGAAGTATACGCAACGCCCGCCGAAGCGTCAACTTCAAGACAAAGATGACCGCACTTCGTCGTCCTGATGGAACCATAACTGCTTCCCGAAGATCAATGGAGAAGGTCATCCACGACTTCTACTCGGATCTTTTTGCGAGCCACGTCCACCTTCCACCATGCCATCTCAAGGAGGACGAGTATGTCGCACCGTCTGTTCTTCCTTCCGAGATTCGTCATGCTATCATGTCGATGAAAAACCGTACAGCACCCGTCCCGACAGGATTAAGCCAGAACATCTGAAGAATCTTTCGCCAGTTCTCATCAAGACTTTGGCAGGGCTCTTCACGCGGTACCTGACAGAAGGCAAGGTTCCAAGGCAATGGAAGACCAGCAAAACCGTGTTGCTGTACAAGAAGGGAGATCCCCGCGACATCGCCAATTATCGCCCTATCTGCTTGTTGTCTGTAGTCTACAAACTCTTTACGCGAGTCATTCTCAACAGGATCGGAAGAGAGTTGGACGAAGGACAACCATGCGAGCAAGCTGGGTTTCGAAGAGGATTCAGCACGATCGACCACATACACACAGTGTCAAGGCTCATTGAAGTGTCACGAGAGTATAAGATGCCGCTCTGTCTCACCTTCATCGACTTGAAGAAGGCCTTTGACTCGGTTGAGACTGAAGCCGTCATCGATGCCTTGAGCAATCAAGGTATTCCGACTCATTACATCAAGATAATTCGTGAGCTGTATAACGACTTCACAACCACCATAACACCATTCTACAAGGACATCATCATTGACGTGAAGAGAGGCGTGCGACAAGGCGATACTATATCGCCGAAACTATTCAGTGCCGCTCTGGAGAACGTCATGCGTAAGTTGGAATGGGACAACATGGGAGTGAAAGTCGACGGCCGACACCACCTTCGCTTTGCTGATGACACCGTATTGATAACACCAAACATCACGCAGGCGGAACAAATGCTGGCCCAGTTTGACGAAGTGTGTGGAAAGATCGTTCTACGGCTGAATCTAACGAAGACGATGTTCATGAGGAACGGAAGAGTGCCTGATGCTCCTTTCATGCTCAACGGGACGAACATCACCGAATGCTCAAGCTACACCTACCTAGGTCGTGAACTCAATATGATGAACGATCTAGCTCCGGAACTGAGCAGGAGGAAACGTGCAGCATGGGGAGCATATAAGACAATTGAGGACGTAGTGAAGAAGACCAAGAACATCCGGCTCCGCGCCCACCTTTTCAACTCGACGGTTCTTCCTGCTTTGACGTAGGCTTCAGAAACATGGACAATGAGAAAGCAGGATGAACACGCGGTTAGCGTCATCGAACGAGCTGTTGAGAGAGTGATGCTAGGAGTGAATCGACTCACGCAAGTGAGGCAAGGATTACGAAGTTCTACCCTACGTCAACGATCGAAGATCAGGGACGCTGCCGCGTACGCCAAGCAGAACAAGATAAGATGGGCCGGGCACGTAATGCGTTTCGACGACAACCGGTGGACGAGAGCTGTAACAGATTGGATACCACTGGACGTCAAACGCGAACGAGGAAGACCGCCGACGCGATGGTCAGATATGTTCACGAAGTCCTTTAATGAAGTCCTTCAGAGCGTTCCACGTGTTCCTGGTGCGATATGTAAACATTGGTCAACAATCGCCCGAGACAGGGACGAATGGAGGCATCACTGGTACCCGCTCGTGCAACACGATGATCAACGGGGATACAGGTGATACAGGTGATAGTGTCACAGGAAGAGTATGGCAAGAGTAGGAAGTCTGGTCTGCCCAGTGAGGGATGCATGTTTACTAAGAAGAATTCAATTATATCTTCTTACATTGAGAAGCATGGTGGAAAATAAGGGACAAAAAGATTTCTCAACTTAAGAGCTTTTCATTCACATGCGAAGCCTCAAAAAATACTTTTCCGTTTTGAAGGTAAAGCATAGATTACCACAAAAATTGCTGATATTGTAGCCAGATAAAATTCCTCATGACTCGCTTCGCAGATTAGCTAGAAAAGAGAGACGGTCAATGTGGATTCCTCGTGCTCTTTGCTACCGAATGGTATACAAAATTGTGGTGCATAAAGCTTCACCGCTCCAAAAAAAGTTTTGCGCCTGCGACCCAGGAAAGTCAAACCATTGAGACGACAAGGCGGAGCAGGCTAATAGTAAACAGCTCCACTTCATTTTTGAAGAGCCATAAGTTTTTTCATTCAACAAGTTCTATACCATTAGAAAAATTACAAAACGGGAATTCGACGTAGACCGTCTCTTTTTCCCCAGCGCTCTTCGATTCGGAAATACATGGCATTGCATCTGAAAACAAGCTTGTTTTTGTGGGGGAAATTTTCACGCAAAGAATAGATGAAGATGTCTAACTGTGTTATAAACCAAGACTTTGCCAGTAAACGTAGACCGTCTCTTTTTTTCTAGCTTCCCTCGTGATTTCAGAACGGAGCGCAAATTGATTGCATAAAATCAGCTCATGTTGCAGCTGGATAAAAAATTTTACAAGTGAATCCACAGGAGAGGTGGAGAAAAAAGGACGGCCTTTGTTTATCCTACATGTTCCAAGATTTTGAATGGTATGTCGATTGACGAGGCATAAAGTTTTCCTGAATCAAAAAAGTCCCTTTCGATGACCTTTCAAAACCAAAGCATTGAAAATTTCTTTGTATTACACCTCTGTATCACTTAAATTCCCTCTTTGCACATTCCAGTCCCACCCTGCATGTAAGCTTACGGCGGCAATCGCCACAAGGCTTAGTTACTCCTTCACTTTTCTAGGTCGGAAATACCCGAGACCCCTTCATCTGGAGGGGACCCTGCTCCCCTAAAGCAAGTATGGCTCGAACTTTGCAAATTTGAAAAGCAAACATATACAAAAGTAGCCCAACATATACAAAAATAGGAGCTTTAGCACGAATAACAACATCGATAATTCTTCTTTGAAGCTTTTGCCTCACCAACATGGAAACAATTTATATAATCGCTTGCTTATGTGATAATGAAATCTTGCATTTTCACAGAAAGTCATTTCAACTGTACTATGCCTATGGTCTTCCCATGCATAAACCACTCATTAACATAGAAACATGGCTCGTTCCATATTATTGCCTTTGTCTTGCATTCCGTATTGTGAAACCAACAATCCTAAATTATGCGAATTCATTTGGTCGAATTCGTCTACAATCTTTTTAAAAGGACCGAGAGAGAGGCCACAGACGCATTATGGCAGCATTTGGAAAGAACTTTATTCTCGCAACGGTATGTTGTATTTACCTCCAGCTAAACTTACTTCCACTTTGAGTGATTATGCAGAATTAAGGTTCACTCTTCGTGCTATTGCTGATGAAAAAGAATGATAGGCGATTTTTAGAAAGCGAGAGCTGCAAAATTTATCCTCTGTACCAACGGATAGGAATTTAGACTCATATTTCTACTTTTTCATATTGAAACATGGTAATACAAAACCTCTCTCAAATCAATCAAGAAGACGCCGAACTCCATCGCAGTTCACCGACTTCAGGGTTGCATCGCGTCATATCTCGTTTCAAAGTGGACGAATTTTGAAATTTAAGGACATCGTGCGACTTAGCTTGAAAGGCGCACCCCTGATATACAGATCTGCCCGTTTGGACAGAGTATGAAGTCAAATTTTACGGACCTTTTCACATTTGGCCTACGGTAGCTTACTCGTGTGTAAAGAATTAGCACACTGAATAACCTGTGGTAAGCAAATTTCAAAATCATTCGTGAAAATTGACCTCCTACTGTGTCCGACGGGCGCTTATTTATATAAAAAGGTGCGCGCTAGCCAAGCTGAATCAGCTCAATCATCAATCAATCAATCAATTGTGCTCCTAGATTTGGAATCTACTCTAAACCTCATAGCTAGGTCTGTAACTATTTGCATACGCAAATGCGCAATCACAACAAATGTTTTGGCGCACAAGGTGAATGGTAGTATGTGTAGTAGTAATGTAATGTAAAGTATAAGGCACTGGGAGCAGATAGCAATCGTTATTTAATAGTTTCTGTTCAGTTATGGTTGTGCACGATGTTTGCGACCCCTTCACAACAAATAGGTAAGTACAGTATTGGAGAGAAGAGATTTGTATAACATTGCTCTGCAAAATATGAGTTTCCTTGTGTAAAACCAGATTCGATTTTAGAATGCAAAGGTCACGATAACTACAAAATTGACCCTATGGCTAGAGACCTGATCCTGGAATTACACAATAGAAAAAGGTAAGCAAAATGAAGTGATATCAGAGATTACCGCGCAAGGCTGGACATTTGCTATTTTTTACAGGTTTGCTAAATTTTATCCTACAACAGAGTGATTTTGAGTCGATCCTAATCTAAACGAGATGCTTAACGGTTAGCGCTGCTTACTGCGTCTAGTTGGAATCTGTGTACCTTACAGCTTGTCCTTATGCGATAAGGTCATAGTTTTCCTTGCTGATTATGACTTAGAGTGATACGCAGCAAAGACCATAGAGCAACATACATCAGGTGTAATGCTTACTTATATAACCTTTGATTCAGCTGGCTTGGCGTCTGGAAAACGGAGCTCTGTGACCTAATTAAGGCCGCTCGCGCCCGCGAAGCAGTCTGCGTCTCTCCCGCGCTTGTGCTCTCTGATCATTATCTAGCTTTAGTTACGAAGCCCGCCTCCTAGGCCAAACCAGTTGAGTTGAAGGGTACTCAAACGGCCCCTTTTCGCGTGGGCCCAGCATAGAAACCAGGGTCCGGCATGAATCCGTTCCTAGAATTTTGAAAACGAAGTCTTGACTATCTCCAAAATTTACGAAGTCCCCTTTTACCCCAACATACCTGTAAAAAAACTTTAGAAAACGGAACGTCGACAAAAAAAAAACGTCGCAATTTTTTGCGTCTTTTCAGCCACCAAAACAAGATCCCCTTTGCTTTTTCGCCTCAAAAACGAAGTCCAGCTTGTTTCCATACGATCTGTGCCGGACCTTGATAGAAACGCCTGCCCATTTCGTTGGTGGTCTTTTTCGAGGAGATCTTGTTTTGGAAGGGATTCACTCCGTGAAGCTTTTGACAAGGGAGCAGTGTCAGCCCAAATCTCAGCTGCGTAAGAGGCGGGAAAGTTTGAATATATTTAATAGATGTAGTTGATAGCGAATATTAAAACTTGGTCTCAAAAGGTTGTATCTACGAAGCAAGAGATGCCCACTATTTGTTGCGGTAATTTTCTGCAGCTAGCAAAAGCAGATCTGGAATTGCATTGTGTACATACGTCGATATGTTTTACACCGTACCAACTCACTATATTCCTTTCGTCAAATGACATATATTGGTGGAATGTGGCCACTTTGATGAACTCCTTGCAACCAAAAAGCTGCAAAATCAATTACAGACCGACTGAACGAAGACGATAGCTTGCTTTCTGATTTAGGATGGAGACAGCGAGAGGTCAGTACAAAAATGGTCGCAACAGCTTCTACATAAGTTATGGAAAAAACATACTGGAAATGGTTCTTTTCAAATTTCACACTCAACATCTCATCAGGAGTAACGAATTCTTTCAGAAATACGATTGTGATCTGGAAACGAAAGCACATGAGATTGCTTCGGCATGCCCTGAAACAGAAACTTTGCAGGCAACGCTTACTGATCAGGGCGAGAATTTCATAAAAATTAACAAAGAATACCCAGAGATAGGATCACCAACACAAGCAGTGTACATAGTAAGTTTGTGCCCAAATGGTGATTTGAGCCATTGATTGAAACTCTTCCACAACAATCATCTTGAAAAATCCTCTCCTTCGCCGCAGCGTCATCATGTACCCTTTCAACTGGCTTGGCTTCGGCAAAGGCGGGGCCTAATTAGGGTACGTAATGTTCAGAGAGCACTCGCGCGAGACAGACGCAGGTGCGTCGCGGGCGCGAGCGGCCTCAATTAGATCACAGAACCCTTCCCGCAGCCAAGCCAGTCACATCAAAGGTTAGTTCAAACGTTGACGTTACAGGCAGGAACTACGTGGTTCGAAGAGATTACGAAAAATGGCATCAATCAGAATTTGGACTTCACGCAAAACTTTGCGAATAAGAAACCTACAGTATATCATTGGTCCCAAGTACGTAAACACAAATACACTATGCATTTCCTACGATTTCCCTTCCAAGATGGTTTGGGCGAAGTCGTGGAAAATTGGCTGCGAAATAGGAGCCTGTGGTAAGTTTACCATCGTAGTGTGCCGCTACAGTCCCAAGTAAGCACATACTTTAGCAAATAGTAATGTAGTTTGACAAGCGTGCTCTATTCCAGAGGCAATGTGGTGGGCCAAAAAGTTTACCAGCCATATCAGAGATTGGCTTGCGAAAATGGTGAATCCCTCGGCTATTCTTCTCTCTGTGCTTATCCATCCTAGATAAATTTGTCATGCAAATAAATGTGGCATTATATTCTTTACCTGAATGTCATCAAATCACCCTGCACGACAAGGGTATAAATACAATAACCGATTGACAGGAGACGGCCCTTCTGAGGAACCCACCGTCCGCTGTAATCAAAAACTGGGCGGAGCGCGTGCGATGCGTTCCATACGGACGAGGGTTCCGGACGCGCCTCGATATTTTCGAAAATCTCGTGCAGCCATTAATAGGAAAATGCAAACTACTGGTCTACTACTGGTATTATTCTACTATTATGTTACCCCCTTCCAGCAGCGACGTACTGAGGGCGAAATTCTTGAAGGTTACTTAGATGTGTTATAGAAATTGCAAGCACTTATTTTTATGATTAAAATAATTTTTTTAAATTTTTTAAAATTCAAATTAGCCTTGTAAAAAACTTTTTTTGAAATTTCGGGATTACGGCCCCGCAAAAATTTTGGGGACCATCCCGAAAAAAATTTTTTATAACAGAAGTAAAATAGCTCCTGTAGGCTTTCCCTCAGGAAAGCATCACGCATAACAAAAATAGTGACGATGCATGATGCTGGAAGGGTAGCAAACATCCAAGCAAAAGGTTGCTGAAAGTAAAGCTTAGAGCACGTAGAAAACAAAAAAGACTATGGTTACTCACAAATGAGCACTGGAGGTGTCTCAAATACTTCAAAACATACCTGGCTAGGCGAAGAGACGAATTCACAAATAGTAAGTGGAATCTGTCACAAACGAATTGGGCCCCCAGCTCCCAACGTCAGTGGTTAGGGCCCTCCTGCATCGGCGAGGGGAGCCAGAGGTCCCATCCGGGAGAAAGTGTAACGTATCATGTGTGGTGGCTTCACCTGTGAGAATGCGAGTTGTGCCCGCCACATGGACACTCCATACACACGCAGAGGCCCTTGCCACCAGCCTAATTAGCAGTTACTCGACACTTGCGACTCGACTCATGCTCCCAACTATTGACAGTTGGGCATGGTACTTATAACCAAGGCACTTGACCGGTATCGTGCCAGCCTTTCAACAGATGGTTTATACTGGGCGCGATTATATAATAAATACATAATGACTATGATGACATGAGATATCCCCGGAGCCACAGCCGAGCTGTAGCTCACCGCTCCAAATAAATCACACCTGTAAAACGCCCACCACTTATCCGCAACTATTCCCTAAACTCAACCACAGGTGGAGCACAATCAGCCAGATGTTAAACCTAGAGGCCGGCAATATCGGAAACCCCCCCCCCCCCGAGGCGTTGTCGCCGGCGTGTGCCAGGCGCGAGTGCGCTCGGGGTTACCTCGACCTCGTAGCGCGGGAGCCAGTCCTCCGTAGCGTAGATGGACTTGACGCGTGAGTTGGGATGGCGCTGGATCGATCAACGGCATGAGACGAATTGGAACCCGACCGCTCACGATGGCGAGAGCAGTGAAGAATGAGTACGTGACTTACTTAAACCCTGCGCAGGTGAGAGAGGTGAGAGGCGGGACAGCCCGAGGACGGCGTTTTGGGACCCCTTTGCAGCGCGGCGGCGGCAACCTTTGAAGGAAGTCGCAAATCCGCGACACTCCGGGCAACAAGAAAAAAGGGTCCGAGATAGCTCCCTATCTGCCTGTTACCTACGACCCAACGAGTCACGCATACGTGCAAACCTACGAATCAAGAATCCCTAGGTGGAACGCGGGACCTACAGCCTGTCGTGGTAACAGCCGGTTGTTCTCGGAGGAAAGCATGAAGAGTCGTCGGGGGCTCTACTCTGGATACTGGCGGGCTTCGGCAGTTGTGAAGGCGATTGTTGCGTTAAACGGAAGTTGAGGCGACCCTTGACGGCGGAATGGCTCGACAGTTGCGGCATCGACAGCTTGAACGGACCATCTCAGATAACCGCCGGGGGCAGGCGGCCATGCATATTTTGAGCAAGCGCGCACCGGAAAAATAGTTCGTTGATTTTTTGCGGCCCGCTTGCAGAAATTTGGAAGAAAGTTGGCAAAATTAAAGACGAATGCTAGAAGAACAATCGCGGTTTCTTTGGATTAGCTGCGGCGCAGTGGCCGCATTCTCGCGGACTTTCCGCGAGAATATGCAAAAATTTCGAGGGCCGCACGTTCCTTTGTGGAGGACCGCGCAACCCCCAGGTACTTTCCGCTGAGAGAAAGTACCTCAAACTTGAGTAATTAAACCAACGGTGACACCTCTGCCACACAGAGTCTTACCTGCGCTCGACGTACGCCGGAAAATACCTAAAAAGAGTCCGAGCGCTTGCTGAAAGTTTGGCCAGCGCTCGCTGGAAGATATTATTTGACGAGCGCTCGCAGAAAATTCTGTATTGCTGCCCGCTGGCAGAACGCGGAAGTACCGCCCGCTGAAGGTTTGGCCACGCCCCAAATTTCTGCTGACCGCCTGCAGAAAAGCGCGAGTTTGCGGACCGCCTGCCCCCGGCGATTATCTGAGATGGACTCAGATAATCGCCGGGGGCAAGCGGCCATGCGAATTTTGAGCAAGCGGGCACCGGAAAAATAGTTCGCTGATTTTTTGTGGTCCGCTTGCAGAAATTTGGAATAATTTTGGCCAATTTTTGGACGAACGCTCGAAGATCTATCGCGATTTTTCTATACATAAGTTGCGGCACAGTGGCCGCATTCTCGCGGATTTTCCGCGAGAACATGCCAAATTATTGAGAGCCGCACGGTCCTTTTTGAAGGACCGCACAGCCCTCAGGTACTTTCCGCTGAAAGAAAGTACCCCAAACTTGGGTAATAAACCATCGATGGCACCTCTACCACATAGAGTCTCATCTTTTCTCGGCGTACGCCCGAAACTGCGTAAAAAGAGTCTGAGCGCCTGCTGAAAGTTTGGCCAGCGCTCGCTGAAAGAGATTGTTTGACGAGCGCTTGCAGAAAATTTTGTATTGATGCCCGCTTGCAGAAAACGCAAATACCGCCCGCTGAAGATTTGGCCACGCCCCGAAATCCTGCTGACCGCCTGCAGAAAAGCGCGAGTTTGCGGACCGCCTGCCCCTGGCGATTATCTGAGGAATTCGGCGTTGACGTGGATGTTCGGCTTGACGTGACGCTGACAGCGGCTCGACATGGGCGGCGTTGGAGCGACGATGAGGTGTCAAAAGATGTTGATTTTGCCTACTGGCGCGTTTCTTCACGCCTGGTGAAGAATTAAAAGCGAGGGGAAATTTTATCTCGCATCACAAGACCCCCCCCCCTCCCCGGACAAATCAGATGTGAAAGGAAGGGGCATTCCTAGACTCAACCAAAAACTCGATAATTGGGAAGTAGGCGCTTGTGACACACAAAAGCGTGGGCTAACCTAAAATAGGGTCAGCGACAAAAACCGGGCGAGCCTAAGGCCCGCCATAAACCACAAAACACAACAAAAAGAAAAAAGGAAATAAAAAGGGGTATGAATAAAATAGTCAAACTAAATTGAACATACCCAAAAAGTCGGTGGCTGGGGCTAACGGCAAGTGGGAAATACGTAAAGTGGGAACTTCTTCATCCTTCGCCCAAAAGGTCGATCGTTGGGGCCATCGTAACACGAATAACGTAAACTCAAAGGATGGGGGTCTTATCCTCAGCCTAAACAAACAGCATTGATAAGGAATTGCAAGTTGGGGGTGAGTGCGAAGCTTCACCAAAGGGAAAGTTGGGAAGGCGTAATGAGGCTAACGATCGTGGGGCGAGGCATCTCTCCTCTCTTCTCTCCTGGCTTTCTGCCTCCTGCGGATATCGGCCAATGCCTTGAACTGTTCAAGGATTGTGCGATATTCACCAAATGGGAGATAGTTAGTGGTGCTGATCAAAGCAAAAGAAGTGTCGTGCTCCTTGGAGTGGCACGATCTGCACCTCTTTCTATAACGGGGGCAATCCCCTTCCGCGTGGATGCCACAGCACAAGAAGCATCCGCCTCTCCTGGCATTCAGCTCCATCGTGTCCCTCAGGTAGGTGTAATTGGGACAGCTGGATGAGTAATGGCGCTGCCTGCAGAAGTAACAACGGATGTTCCTGGGCGGTACCTCCGGCCTCCTCCGCTCCTGCTCTCCCTCCTCCATCGGCCCATCCGCCTGACGCTCACAATGGGGCGTGGGGCCCCATCCTGGAGAGCGGGCGACATGTGGGGCGGTGACGTAGCTGCCGATGTGGAGCTCATTTCCGGTCCCCAACGGGACTTCTTGGCGGCTACAGCGGATCGGGATCGGTGACGGTCGGTAGATGACGACGGCAGTTCGGCGATGCCAGCAAGGGCTTCTTCCTGGACGTCACGCTGCTGTCGTCGTGTGCGAGAGCGAGAATGTGGGCGCTTGGATGGGGTGCTCTGTCGAGCTGTGACTGTCGTAGACTGCGCGTGCGACTCTTGGGAATGCGCTTCAAATCTGCGCGTGATGGTGACGTGGTATTGCTGACGGATTCTCTCCATCTCCGCATCACTGTGGCGGATGTGAGGTTGATCTGAGCCAACCCCTCCGGTGTGACTTCTTAGTGGGCTAACAGAGCGAGCCTCTGCTGCAGCTCAGCGGCTGAAGATGGAGCGGTTCTGCTAGACGGGTGTTGACCGTATGACGACGATAGTTGATGTTATATGTGTGCGTGTAGATGCGGTCAATCCTCTCTAGGAGTCCCTGGGTATCCGGCAACAACGGTTGTGATGTGGAAGTCATGGACTTCGTGGCCTCTGCGATACTGTGGTCGAGTGCCTTCAACTCGTAAGTGACCAACAGGGGCATCAAGTATTCAGTCTTGGCTCCGATGAAGTCTTCCTCTTGAGGCGCAAAGATCTCTTTCATGAAGAGACTGCGAAACTTCTGCACGATCTTGCTATACAGGTATCCATCCATGAGCACATAGTCCTGTTGTCCTAAGTGGGCTGGATTGAAAATACACTCGAAATTTAGGGCTGTGTGAGCTGCTGAACCAGGCCCAATGCGGACCGGTACGGCTGTGGGACAGCAAAAGAATGCGTCTCGGTGTCGAGCTCGCGAAGAAGTCGACGATTGACGTT